ACGTGCGTGCTGTATCATAAGGCCTGTCATTGAGTCAACAGGCGGGGTTTCGAATCCCTGGTTGTAATTGACAAGGAGTAAGGTTGCCTGGCGAACCACGTGAGATTTCTCCGGATACTCTGGTTTCCTCCCACTGCTAAAGACCCCTATGCGCAAGCGAATTATTGAAATAAAATTGAACCATGTGTTAGTCCCGAAATGACCTACTTTGTGTCGAGTGGACGTTAAACCCTTTTCTCTCTCTCTCTCTTCTAGTAATTTGGCGGTCCACTGATGAGTCTGCCTAGGAACCACAATTAAAGGTTAACCCAGTTGTTACTTAATTTTGTGTTAAAACACGTTTGAGTCGAAGAAAAATCAACAGTTCTTCTATACTCTTTAATTTATTCTTGTAATAGTGCGGGTGGGATGATCTTGAATCAAAACATCGCATCCAATCCAATCATCATTACGTTAATTTGAAGATATTATTTTTTTTTCGGCTTGCTGTAAATTAATTCATAGTCAGATTTGAGTTCAGAAAGTGAGATGGGTACAGAATATAAATATTGTTATTATGTTGACTTCTTCTATCATCTTTATGTTCAATCATTGATTTCTCTCTCATTTAATCTACGCTACAAATTCGCAATAATGGCATAGACGACAGTTCAGGCGCTATGATAAACGACCTGCCCTTTTTGGCGCCATTTCTGATTGATTTAGAGAATCGGGCTATGTTTCGGCTGTCAAGAGATTCAGTAATTTTCTCCTCTGCAAATAGCATTCAATCGATCCGCAGTAAAGAGTGTTTGAACCCAGAATCACCCGAAATTTGCTACAAAAACCGTTCATTAACTAAGGCTCACGTCTGGTCAAATTATAGGCCTTTAGGGTATCAAAAGGTTTACGATCGTATAAGGTTGGTCTATTGAAATAACAAAAACCTGCGATAATCAATTCTAAAAAGATTCAAAGACTTTTCTATTATTGTTTTGCCGTTTACAGCAATCGTTACATTTTTAATGCAGCCACTTTCGCCGTCTCTTTTATGACTGAACTCAATTTATTGCCATGTATATGTTATACACATTAAAGTGGCGGTGCGTCATTTGCATTTTACGCTAAAATACCAAATTTCGCACGGCTTAATCCACGCTAATGTTGATTAAGAAAACATTTCGGGACTAACATATGGTTTAATTTTATTTCAATAATTCGCTTGCGCGTAGGGGTCTTTAGCAGTGGGAGGAACCCGGAGGACCAGGAGAAAACCCACGAAGTTGGACAGGCAACCCTACTCCTTGTCACGTACAACCAGGGATTCGAAACCCCGCCTGTTTACTTATGATACAGCACGCACGTGCTAACCATTTGGCCCAACGCAAGACAATCTCCCAGCCTGGATTCAATCAGATTTAAAATAGATCTATCAATTCGGTTCGCCTACAATAAAATGGTGTCAGGCTTATTACATAGCGAGAAGCAAAGGTCGATGAAATTTCAATTGAACATTTATTGTAAATACTGAACTGAACAGTGAACAGATATTCCTATTACAGGCCCGTAGCTAGCCCAAAATTGTTGGTGGCGGGGGGGGGGGGCTTCTGGGGCCGCCGATGTACCTACACTTGACGGCCCACGGCGAACACCACCGTCGACGCGCCTCCCTTCGGAGAAGGTGCTAGGGTGCTCTCCTCCCACAAAAAAATCGAAAACAGGGTGATTTGCACCTGAGGAGAGAGGAACTATGAAATTGACGGAAAATTTCAAATTTTCAAATTTGATGCTGAATTTGCGATATGGCCATTTTGGAGAGCCTAACCAATCTCACTCGACATTATGCCCCCCGCCAATTATATTACGGGCTCCAAAGATCTCGTCGTGGGCGGCCCACCAATCTCGGTATTATGGGTGCCCCTTCGGAATGAGGCAGCCCACCAATCATGCCGTTTTTGGCGCCCCATCAATCAAGTTATTTTGTTGATCATGTGATTCACGACAGCGACTTTATAAGTGTGTTTTAAATTGACTTTTTGATATTTTGTGTTTTTATCAATTTTAAAGTGACTTTTGATATACACGGACGTTTTTATTTTGTGTTTTTAACAATTTTCAACCCATTAAGTGTAAATAATTTAATTAAATCCACTTGTCCATAATATGATATTTAATGTATTGGACGCTAAATCTTTAATAAACAACAACAACAGCGAGGCGCCCATAAAACTAAGTGACATTGGTTGGGCGCCCCGCCAATCTCGTCGTGGGCACCCAACCCATGCACTCGGCTTTATGGGGTGCCCATACCGATATGGGCGCTTGGTCGTTGGCTTCGTATTGCGTCTAATGGAAAGGGAGGTGGGGGTGTGGGGCTATTGGAATTCGATATAAGTAGGCCATAGTGCCGCTGCCCGGGCAAAATTTCTCTCATAGCACACTGTATGGTGCATGCCCGTTTTCATTAGCTCAGTTTAAAGCAGAACAGTAGGACGTTAAACCCCATTTCATTTCATTTCTTGCAGAAGGCACGACGTTGGACCACACAGTTGCACGCGCTAGTAGAAAGAGACGAGAAGAAATTGGAATTAATTTGGGGCACAGGGTCTTTCTACCATAGCCTATCCTTAAAAAATAATTCTAAGTTCTCTTTAAAAACGATTCTATATTAGTACCTGAAAATATGTCATTGTATAGCCATCTAGCGCTTTCATAATAATAAGGGTAGTTTGATATTAAACCACTTGGCTTAAAGGAGCCAAGTCTTTATCTCAATATCATCCACAGTCTTCGACATTGCAAACATGACTTATTGCTCAATTTAAAGTAGCTAAGTCTCTAACTCAATATCATCCAAAGTCTTACACGTTGAAAATACGAATTATTTGTCAATTCAAATCAACATTGATGTTGTGATCTTACCAGGAAAGGGCAGGCTTCTGATACCCAATATTTAAGACAAAATAAATATTTTACCATTGGTACCATAGTGCGTTTTAGCGCCATTTGCAACAAGTGACCAGAAAGAACGAGGCTAGACATATTCAACTGGAAAGCCTGCTGAATAGACTGGAATAACCAGACGCTAGAAATTGCTATAGGGTTGAGACACATGCCTTATTTCGCTGGACATAACTCATTTGAAATTAGAGTCAAAACGGAAACAATTGAATGTAAATCAGTTTATATACAATCAGATTACATTATTATATGCGTTGCGACCCATTTGGGTCAATTTCTAGGTCAGTTAGCGATTTAGCTCCTTTAAATCAACATTGATGTTGATATCTTACCGTGAAAAGTTGAGCTTCTGATATCCAATATTTAAGACAAAATGAAAATTTTAAAATTTTAAAATTAGCAAACGAATCGCGTGCCAGAATGCTTTCGAGCGCCAGTTGTGTGAACAACTCGATGAATGAGGCTAAACATATCCGCTGTAGACTGGAATAACCAGAAGTTAAAGACTGTCATTCAATTCAGACTCTTCGCGTATATAACAGAAACGACTGAATGTAAATCAGTTTATATACATTCATATTACATTATTATATGCGTTGCGACCCATAAAGAATAGCGATTTAGCGCCTTTATTTGATTGTTTACCTGGGCTAAATCTCCCACACCCCGTTTGCATGCGCACGTAACCATTGGATTGACAAAATGTCATCTATTGGTCTCAAAATGAGCGAAGAATTGTGTTGACGAGTCGTTTAACCCCATTCCATTTGAATGGTTTACAGTTGCTCCCATGTTTGTTATACGGAATAATTTTTAAGCTGTTTATTTCGAAATATAATATGAAGACTTTATTATTTTTTTTTTAAATTTTCGAGAAAGTTTAAACTATAATCGATATATTGCATAATAATAACGGCTTACGGTCTATTTTTGAACCATTCCAGTTTACAATAAAACGGCCATTAAATGGATTTGTCTCCCTTTTTCACACCGACAAAGAAATTGAGCAGCTCGGGTAGTCTGATATGCTGAAGCTATACGTGTTGCAATTTTCTCTTGATTAAAGATATTCTGTAAGCCTGAACAATTCTCAATTTAATTAAGATAACAAAATCGAAGTCGGCAAAATTAAAACTCAGAGAGTATGATGCTGAGAAAAACTGAAATAAATGGACGTGATGAAGAGGGAACAGAAGTTACAAATGCAACGTCGCTCAATTTGGTCACTTGGCAGCATGTTGCCAAAACGAGTTTTAAAATTTGCCTTTTTGACTTTTAAAAAGAAAAGTCAAAGCGTGGGTCTAGCCCATAATAATAATGCCCACAATATTGTCCGCCTTTAACATCATGCGCCTTATCAATATGGAGAGCTAAAATTATTATTTTCAATTGCCAAATTTTGGTGAAAAGATTCCCACTCCTCAAATTAAACTGCATCCTTGGCACACAAAAACAACATTGAAGTTCTCTTTCATCTTTGTAATCGACATTGGAAGCCATTAGCCATTCCTTGTAATCTATAGATAGTCCCGCCTTATAAATAAATCCCTTTAAAATTGTACAATACAGTGTTTTGAGGGTTTTTTTTATTTAACAGATGAGTTGTGAAGCAGTCAAGTTTGTGAAAGTAATCTTAGTTTGGTTTAACAACTCAGCTTTGTACCAATTCATCAGGGAATGGTATATTTCACTAAATAAGATGATTGGGGGAAATAAGTATACCCCTATTGTTGAGCTGTGATGAAAAATTAACTAGCTTTAGTTCGTTGACGGCAGCTTTATAGTCTGTCGGTAACATCAAAGAGATACCAGTTGAATAAACCTGAACCAATAAAAGAGAACAAAAGAAAGGAACAACAATAAGCCAATCAAACACATTCTTACATAGATCAAACCAGTTATCGTTTAGAAATAGTGGATTATCGAAATTTAATTAAATGATTTACAAGAGAAAAATAAACAAGAAGAAATTAATCTTTGGCTCTTCAAATTATGGAGACATTTAAAAGGAAAAGGGAAGGCTAAATCGCCCTTACAAACGTGTAATACGTTTATATTTTTGATGTTGAAGACTCCTTCGCTACCCTTTGATTCACAATGGACTAGTCAGGATGTCAATCATTGCGGTTAGTGAGTTAGCCACGCCCCCCATGAGAGAGAGAATGTGAAATAAATGTGTAAAGTGTATCGAAGTAAGCCTTGGAAGTTCTTGTTACCTCAAAAAACTTGGATATTTAGGAGTATGTTTTTGTTTCAAGATATGTACATTGTGAGTGCTTAATATTGATGGAAACTGGGGAGTCGTAAAAAAGATGGGAAAATTGCAAAGCAAGCATGGTAAGTGATGAACGTCAAAGTGTTTTTCTTCGTGTGATGAACATTTTGGTCACTCCGTTTAGAGAGGGCATGAACCCGGTTCACTGATCGCGAAGCCAGACTCAGCTATGGCGCTTCGACAAGCCTGTGTTATGGTCGAACGAAGATCTTTATTCTGTGTGTGTCGTTGCGATTTTATGCCTTTTTTCTTGATCTTTATATTTGGCTTAATTTGTGTACCCTTTTGGTGTTTTGTTTACATTTTTTCCCAGTAAAGTTTTGGTGTGAAATTGAATTATCGTCCAATGAAACTCAGTCTCAGTGTAGTGCATTTTCTTATATTTTCATGTTTTTTGGTGTTTTGCTTGTTGTATGGATGAATTGTTAAAGCATGCCCATCTTCACCGATTACTTCAGAAGGTAGGGTTCTCCTATCTAGACCCAACTCCCCAACTTTCTCACACAACATGAGGGACCAATTAATTTGCCAGAAAAATACAAGTCAAAAAGACATTGTTTTTAACGGAACATATTTTAGGGGACAAACTTTCAAGGAACTCGCGTTTAACACTGACTGGAATTAGGATGTATGAGTCCATTAAATCAAATTTATTCTTCAAAGTAAAACACTTGTCACATGTATAAATTGATCCCAGATAGTGTGTCAAGTCCTTCGGAGGATGTAAAAAGCATGTTTTTATTGATTCTGCTATTCTAAGATTAGAGCCCATCCCCCGGCCCCCCACCTCATATTCATATGTTAGAAAATAAAACTAACCATATACATGTATGACTAGATTGAAATTTTGTAGTTCTAATAGTTCTATAAAATTATTAAATGTCTGCGCATATAGCATTTATTGTCTCCTCTAATTGATAATTTAAATCTTAATTAAGAAATCAGAACCAAAATATCCAAGATGAATAATCAGTTCGTGCGACCATATCATAAGAATAATTTTTTGTACCGGTATGCATAATGTTGAAATATCAAAATACAAATATAGGCCTACTGTACACTGTATTAGTATGCGCAGGAGGACTGCACTACATACAAAACAATACCCAAGTACAAGGTGAATCTACGGACAAGACAGAATGTATAGACATTGCAAGAAATAAACAACTAATATCAAATCAAGTGAATGTATGGGGATGGGGCGGGTGCAGCCAGCTCCGGGCCTGTAATGATGCAGACTTCACTCAAGATGAAAAAAAAATATTTACAAGAAATAATGCAACCGATCTTGACAGTGGTCGTCTCTTGAATGGGGATAGTCTACCAGTGGACATCATGAGTTCGAACGTCAAACAATTTTAACAATAAGGGCGATAATCTGGCTAGAATAATTAATTCTAAACGCCATCTAACACTCTCTCTCTTTCTAACCTAGACTTTTTTCGGAACACCCCTGTAAATATTTTGCAATATTGGAATGCTTGATATTGACAAGATTTCTATAGGATAAGTTGACAATGTTAATTTCGAGAAATGTTTTGAAAACCCGAAAGTAACTGTAAATGGCTACAACAGTGAATTAATCATGTTTTAGTCACAAAATGACAGTTTCGGTCTAGTGGATATTAAACTCTCTCTCTCTCACTCTCTCTGTTATAAGTTCACAATGTTAATTATACTAATAGAATTTGAGAAAGGCTGAAACACACACTGTACATGACTGTATTACACATTGTATTATTGTATCAATATTGATAATAAGAAACCTTCATGTGTGGTATTAACACCAATCAATAATTATATCCACTGTTTCAGTCCACACAATTACATCCAGAAAACCCAGTTTCTTGTTGTTTTATGTCAATATATTGTGTACTGTACTATACTCTCATAAACTTGGCCTGTATCCTTTTTCATAGATTATTCCTTGCACATATAATCTAAGGACTTAACTAGCGATGGAGTTCACATGATTTTCGTGGGGGTTAGGTTGTCTTGTGGTCTGTCATTGAGTCAAGTGGCGTTTTGATCCCGCACTTGCACGTGACAAGGTGTAGGGTCACTTGTCCAACCTTGTGGGTTTTCTCCGGGTATTTCGGTATCCTCCCACTTCTAAAGACCCCTGAATTATTGAAATAACATAAAATTGAAGCATATGTTATTCCCAAAATGACCTATTTGCATCCAGTGGACATTAAACCTCCCCCTCTCTCTCTCTCTCTCTCTCTCTCTCTCTCTCTGTCTCTCTCATGATTTTCAAAATGATATTCAATCACAATTTCTACAATATTCTGATAAGCATAATAGACATGATTCACCATGTTGACCTTACTGTGAAAAACGATTTGGCTTGTATATATTATAAAAATGATTTGGCTTGCTTGAATATATAAAAATGGGGGGTCACGTTGTCTAAGTGGGTAAGACGCTGGCTTGCTAGCTTGGTGGTCGGGTGTTCGATCCCTGCATTGGCCGTGAAAGTTCTTCCAGATTTTCCAGCGTGGTTCCCCCTTATCAGTGATGCAGGACAGAGGGTCTGACAAGGACAGCTGTCTAGTTGTTAGGATGGGACAAAAAACTGAGGTCCCTTGTACACATTGGCGTGCACGTAAAAGATCCCTTGACAGTTGGAATTCGATATAAGAGTAGGCCGTAGTGCCGCTGTCCGGGCAAAATTTCCCTCATAGCACACTGTATGGTGTATACCCATCTTCATTAGCCCAGTTCGGAGCAGAACAGTAGGACGTTAAACCCCATTTCATTTTATTTCATTTCATTTCATTTCATTTCATTTCATGTAGTACTGATAAAAATGCATCACCCTCACACATCAAAGAAACTTATGAATATTTTTTTTATTTAGCAACTCTGTAACGGTTGATCACAGTCATCATCACTGTCATATGTCATATTAACCAAGACTATGAGTCCTGCTTGATGGCTGTAAATTTGATCACCCAGTCAGTGTTTTTTTTCTGATTACTGAGTCTGACATGACAGCTATACAGCTATGACAGCTAATCTCTTTAGTTCAAAGATGGGGAATGAATTCATTTAAGGTTTCTTTCTCAATAACTGTAACAGAATACATTGACTCTATGGCTTGTGCTTGAACTTTTAGAACTGATTTTCTGTGAAGCTGTAGACTAGCCTATGCTAAGAAACATCCTTTTGAGAACTGAATAGAAGTCTTCATTTATATGAAGTTCGGAAAAAAAAGTTCATAATGATTGTGTTTGTGAAGTTTCAATATACATTTATGCAGTTGTTGTAAATCATGGTTTATGGTTTGAGCTTGTACTTGTGAATCTTGGATTTTCTCTGACTTTGTTGTAAACTATATTATAAGTCCTTTCAGAATTGGATAGAACTCTGTATTTATATTAGAAAAAAGTTCTTAGTAAATGAGTTTATAAAGTTTCAGTACATGTATAGGTACCATAGTTATTGTCCAACCTCGTGGGTTTTCTCCAGGTCCTCCGGTTTCCTCCCACTGCTAAAGACCTAGTTTGTGTCGAGTGGATGGTAAACCCCATTTCTCTGTCTCTCCCACCATAGTTATTGAAAACCATCAATCAATGAGTTCACAAAAGGTGTGCATGCCTGTTGCTCATAATATTAGGATTTCAAATGGGTCAATAACCACCTGTGATACTCTAACTCTTGCCATTTGTCGCAAGTAACACGAGTTATGATCATCTAATTAGGGCCCAATTAAAATGTCACGTATAATTAATTAATCCAGATAATGTCATGTATACAATGATATATATTTTTTTTTTTTTTTTTTTAGCAGAATGTATTTTTGTGAATGCTCATTTAAACAAGGCACTTGAAGCCCAGATCTGGAAGCAGAAAACTGGATGTAATTTGGCTAATTATAACATGGATGATACCATATCGGTAAGTCATATTTTATATTCTTATATATATATATAACGCCATGGTAACCATGATACAAATAGATTCACAGTAATTGGCTTAGTTCATCATTTCATCTGAAATTTAGTCCAGCCAACCATCAATCCCTTGTTTTCTTTGCAAAGCGCACCGTACACATTATTCTAACATTTTATTTCACAACAATTTATGGAAATAGTGCCCGGGCATCGGCACTATGGCCTACTCTTATATCAAATTCCAACTGCCAAGGGATATTTTACGTGCATATCAAAGTATACACGTTTTTTCGTCCCATCCGAACTGCTACACATAAATCTAACATTTTATTTCACAACACTTTTGAATTAACCGTACAGTTAATATCTTCATGAAGCTACTGGAACTACATTATGTGTGATTACATCCACTTCTACGAAGCTTAATATCGCAGATAAGTGTTTCTGGAAAAACTCGTCAGTTCAGATTAGGAGAATAAATTAACTGGGGAAACAGCCCACCATTATACCCCAGGGGGATGCACAGTTGTTTCTGGTGCTGCCATGTCCAAAAAATAGCACACAGAATGACGATAGAAACATAGGCTGATAATCCTGACTGACCATACTACATGTAACTTGGACCCACGTCATGAAAGGACTTGATAATTTTAACCCAAACCCAGAACTTCATTGGCCCGTTTCCTTTATTCATGATTATCCAGTCAGAAGATGCTAAAAGACAATGAACATTTACACCCACTTATTATTCATGTACATGTTCCAGTACTAAATAAATATAAATACATTCACAGTACAGCGCAAAATGGGAAGGCTTATCAATTTATATATTTCTCTAGGATAGTGCAGTACTGTAAAATTCTGGCGTTAATAAAATCTCTATTCATACATGTACACATATATAATCTATATGCACACACATTCACAAGCTGTGAATTTATTTACAAATTGTTTAATGTAAACAAGCAAAAAAAATATGAAGAATTTTAAGCATGCATATATTATTTCCAGTACACGCTTATCAATATACGATATATCATTTTATTTTTTTGTCATCTACATACATGTATCAATCACATCACCAGGTTTAGATTTAGATAAGATTTAAAATTGAAAGGCAGTATTTCAAAACATGCCCATATCTTTTATCATTGAGTCATTGGAGAAATGATATGAAATGTGGTTTAACGTCCTACTGTTCTGCTCCGACTGGGCTAATGAAGAAGGGCATGCATACACCATAAAGTGTGCCATGAGGGAAATTTTGCCCAGGCAGCAGCACTATGGCCTACTCAGACCTACTCTTATATCGAATTCCAACTGCCAAGGGATCTTTTACGTGCATGTCAATGTATCCACAGGACCTCAGTTTTTTGTTCCATCCAAACAACTAGACAGCTGTCCTTGCCAGGCCCTCCTCTCTCTCTCTCTCTCTCTCTCTTTCTCTTCTTTATCACCCAATGAATAACAACCATAGCACAATGAAATAAAAACAAACAGTATTTCTGTCTATATTACTGTATATCTACATCCAGATGGCAAATTATTTTATAATATCAATATTGTGAGAGGTCTATTTAACGTCTGCTTCCGCAGAGGTAATATTGCAGACAAAAATTATAGTTGTAGCTGTATTTATTGTCTGTTTCCACAGTAGGCATATCGCAGACAAGAACTAGCAGAAGTAGAAACTTACTGCTCTTTATTTGACTATTTTTGGCATTCATTTCATTTGCTGCCTATGAGCTATACATGGCCATAGATGGTTTGGTGGAAAGATCATCCCTTTATTTAGAAAAACATAAGGGGCTCAACTGACCAATTTGCCCCAATTGATAGTGGACAAAATTGTTTCTTTGTGGGGGTTAAGGTCAGCTTTCAACGACCGTGATATCACAGGCAAGACAAAAATTGTGAACAACTCTGGTATTTATGGCATGATTGACAAAATAAATATTTATATATGATGTAATACCTAGCATGTAACATCATAATAAGTTTATAAAAGAATATACACTGCCATGTTTACTGTTAGACTATCAACAATACGTGGTTAGATATTGTTTACTTTACAAGAACTGACAGGGTTATAGCTGCCATTGAGTTTATTTTGATATTAATTAATGTTACTTAATTGGCATTTATTGGAGATAAACATCAAGCTTAATTTTACAACATACTAAAGACATTGTTCTGTCGACAGAATAGACACAGCGTTTAGCAAAATAATTAGCTGTAAAGAAAGTGAGTACTCAAATGAAAAGTGGTATCATGTGGTCTAGAAAGAGTAAGCTTACCCGGACACTTCCATGAAACCGGTAACATTTTAATTTGACTCTATAAATCTATAGAAAATTACTCATTTTGTAAAGTGCTTAGAAATGATTAATATAATGCAATGCTATACTGGTTTCCTCCCACTGCTAAAGATCACTACGCGCAAGCAAATTATTGGAATAAAACTGTATCATGTTAGTCTCAAAATGACCTAGTTTGTGTTGAGTGTATGTCACCTCTCTCTCTCTCTCTCTCTCTCTCTCTCTCTCTCTCCCTTTGGTTATTCTTAATTTGCTACAGTTTCTACTCATAATGATATCAGCTTCAGAAATAGTTTGAATGCCTGACTGACTGGAATATTATACTTTCTTGTTTTTGTTATAAAAATGAAAAGATCGAAGGGCTGTAAAGGATACAATAAACCATGTAGTATGGATGTGATACATTGTAATTCAATACTTATCAACTGTGTTAAATAACCTGTGAAATCTAATATTATCATCTCTATTGAAAATACTGGATGGATACCTGATGAAAGATTACTAACATGATATAAAAAGGTACGCGCCCAGGTATAACTGATCTCGCAGAAGATACCAGAGAAATATGACAAAATTTCCAAACACTAGTGTAAATAAGTTCTACTACGCCATGTAAAATAGTGATTTAGAGATAGAGTTCTATGATATTTTGTAATATTTGGAATAATTGTTGTAATCTGTCATATTATTTCCGTATAAATGAAAAACGATGACATAAAAGTTAGTTGTTGCTTAATGGCTTTAGTTAAAAATTGTATCCAGTGTTATAAAAATATATTGATCAGCACTTAAACCTAATGTTGTATGATGATGGACAGTGAGATAGCATTTAAGCTCGTCTTCTTGAAGCGTAGATTTTGTTAAACTTCATTTTAATCTTGCAGTGAACCAATCAATTCTTTCTCTTTCATACGGCTGCATATTTCAACCTTAAAAAGGGTATCGAACTCATGAACTGAAATTGCGTTAATCTTGTGGCAAGTCAATAAATTCTCTCTGTGTCGATAGATGCATTAAATATGACTTATATGTGTATAGCAATTGATATAGTATGATAAAATTGAACTGATGTGAATATATATTAGAAGATTAAGACTAATCCCTTAGGATGAATAACCATAAAATATATAGCAGATGAAAGATAGGGTTAAACACAAGATGAATTAGTTTATTATAGCCGACCATAATGGGAGAATACCATGTCATGAATCCATTGTTATTTCTGAAAATAAATTCTATTGTTTGTCACTTCTCTCTGTCTCCATTATATGTGTAGACTTTCCATATTGGGAATAAAATAATTATACTGTACATAAATATGTGAACATGAATGTTAATTTTGTTTCTCTCTCTCTGTCTTTTTTTCTTTTCTGCTTTTGTTATTCTTTTTCATAAATTTTATTTTTAGACAGCAATATATTTATAGAATCGAGGATTATTTCTTCAAATTGTAAAGAAGCATATATGTAGATTTTTAGCAATACACATTGTTGCACAGATTGTAAGCAATGGATGGGTGACAAAAGCAGATCGGAAGTTAGACAGGGCATATAGACGAATACTAATAATACGCTGATGAATGTCAGAATATTAATGAGCTCTTATTTTCAACTAAGAGCTGTAGGTAAATGTTTAAAAGATTGATTGTCATGTTCGACTGTATGTTATTATGTATTTTATATATTCATGTATCTTCTGATGAAGATTGGAATAAAGATTATTATTAACTATTTCTAAGGGTCCTGATTCTGATGGATACACTTTATATCATATGGTCAATGAATGAGTCAAGTGAGACGATTTCAATATTAAGCTTGTTCATGATGAGAATTTATGTCGTCTGCTTAAACTTGTGGGTTTTCTAAGGCCCTTAGGTTTCCTCCAGCTTCTAATGACCACTATTATTAAAATAAAAAGTACCCCATGTTTGCCTGGAAATGGTCTGGTTTGTGTTGTTGTGTGGACTATAAACCCTATTTCTACTTTCTGTCAACATGTCAATCTGATGGTGTACTGTATATTTGTGATTTTATCAAATCATGTATTCAGCAAATCATATCAGTTAATAATCTGGGTTCACGTGAGGTCAAGACATTGTTGAATAAAGATCATACATGTAGATAGGTATGAAGTCAAAGATAACAAAAAAAAAGCTGAAACAGAAATATTGTTATTTGTGAAATTACTTTGAAACTTTGAAAGAGAGAGAGAGAGAGAAATGGGGTTTAACGTACACTCGACTAAAACTAGGTAATTTCAGGACCAACACATGTCCTACGCCTTGTCACGTACAACCGGGGAATCGAAACCACGCCAGTTGACTCAATGACAGACCTTTTGATACAGCGTGCACGTGCTAACCATTCGGCCATCCAACTCCCCTTGAAACTTTGAAAGAAGATTTAAGTTATCTGGATAACAGACTTACCGTAATACTTGTATTAATTGGAATCCTGAAACAATATAATTATAATTTAAAAAAAACACTCGGGATGGGACAAAAAATCATGGATATGTACGTAAAAGAACCCTTGATAGTTAGAACTTGACGTAGATTAGACGGGAATGCTGTTAATGAAATGAAATGGGGTTTAATGTCACTGTTTTTCTTCGACTGGGCTGATGAAGATGGGCATACGCCATACAGTGTGCTATGAGGGGAATTTTGCTTGGACAGCAGTTCTAT